AGCTGAATTTGCGTACCTTAGTCCGAAGTGGGGGCTTAGTGGGGACCAGGCCTAAGTTTCATTGATCTAAGTGCTGGTGTAGACAACACTATGTCATAGGAGAGCTTCTCCTGCTGACAACTCCTGCCTCCGCAAGAGATGAGAGCTATATTAAGCTGCTGGGAGAGCTCTCTCCCATTGGCTTAGTGCATCTCCACCACAAGCAATACAGCGGTGCAGTTGCATCAGTGCAGCTGTGCTGCTGTGACTGCTGTAGTGTAGATGTAGCTTAAATGTAGGATTGGTTAAGAGAACTAACTTCTTGGCACCCCTTTGAACCTGGGCATGTCCCTGCTGCTTAACACTGATGTATATAAGTACAGTGAGTAACAGTACTGATGAATAAGCCATTGAAAGATCTCCAAAGAGGCATCTCCTGCGGCCCTTTTGAGCAAGCCGCATAGAGATTCTAGTGAAAATACTACATACATTTAGGGAATGAAATAGAGCCTTAATTGGTTGGCTACTGACTTATTGGTAAAACGCATACCGTAGGAACACCAGTGGGGTCTGGAAAAGCAACAAATTCATATATTCCAAAGTCATCTGTAGCATTTTCATGCCCTAAAATTAAAAATAAATAAATTATTAATAGGTAATATAAATGCAAACAAGAACACTTCATTAGGGAGGGGCAAACTCATTCGGCCTACTTTTGAACCCGGAGACTGTGAAAGTTCTGCTGTCTTCTACTGTTCCACCCCTACTAGGGCTGGCTCATTTCTCAGAACTTAGAGCAGCCACACTGATGTTTAAACTATGCTTGGCTGCATTCAAGGGGCTATTACAACCTTGAAGATAACTGAAGAGCAGTAATACTCTGGCCATCCCCCTTCACGAAGCCACCTTTCACATTCTTCCTACATTGGTCTATGAGGATCAATTCCCTATGCTGGGGAATACCCATGTAGCTAGTAAAGCATCTCTGTTGCTGCTCCATGGTCTGTGGAAGGAAGATTCAATCTAATTTAGCCAATCTATTTTAGTATTTATATCATAATTAATGGAGATATCCTATCTCCTAGAACTGGAAGTGACCTTGAAAGGTCATCAAGTCCAGCCCCCTGCCTTTACTAGCAGGACCAAGTACCGATTTTTGCCCAAGATCCCTAAGTGGCCCCCTCAAGGATTGAGCTCACAACCCTGGGTTTAGTAGGCCAATGCTCAAACCACTGAGCTATCCTTCCCATCTATCCATCCCATCCCATGCCATGCCCAATGTATCTGACCACTGAAATGATCTAATACTCTTCCCCCATGGCACTATGAAGAGGCCCAGCCCTGTTCCTCAGGGACTGGAGGGTTTGAATTTGGCCTTATGTTCCCATTTTGTTCTTTAGCATTACCTGAGAATGTTTGTGCCTTTCTGTAATCTGCTCCAGGCCTAGAAAACATAAACATGACTTTCAGTTTGATCTCATGGGCAAAGAAAAGAAATATAGCCTGAAACAAAAAAAACTCTTTTTGGGAAAGACACAAAGCCATACGAATGATTTATTTTACTACCTGCTCTGCAGCTGCCGTTGTATAACTGAAAAGAAGAGATAAAGGAAAATCAACCTTTTTGTTATAATGTCCAGAAAATACATCTGGAGTGTGTTTAAGTTTCACCTACCTTTATGTGGCTGATATCTTTTCCATAAGAATAGAAGGGACATAGATAGGATCAAAAATAATGAAATTCCTGTTATTACTGCTAGAGATGACAAAGATTTTCCTTTCTGGGCAAGCCTCTCCAGTCCTGTGCCAAAGAAGAACAGATTCATAGCTAGTCCTTCACAATATACAACATGTTAATTCATCTTAGCTGAAATGGCAACTTGGTACAATAATTATGTGCATTTCAGAAACCACTCCAAAACATGTCTGGTACCAGGAACTAGGTGGAAGCCACTATGAACATTATGGCAAACGGCACCAAATGCAAAAAAAAGTGCATCTCAGAAGTATTTTTGAATTTAGCCTCACAACTCCACAAGGAAGTATGTAAATAGTCCTATCCTATGCATGGGAGATGGAGCCCCAGAGGGACTAGATCATTTGATCAAGGTTACACAGGAAATCAATAGTGGAGTTGGGACTAGAAACCAGATTTTCTTAGTTCAAATCCTGTGCATTAACCGCACAACCCTTCTTCCTATGTAAATTGTTATTATAAAATATACACTTTTTATGTGCCCATCACCATAGTATCTAAACACCAAGTACAAGACTCGGATACATCAGTTCTGGAAGACAGCCAAATTCTCTTTCCCCTCCCTGAGTTAGTTCCACTTTCTAAACAGAGATACTTTAATTAAAATGAACTGTTTGAGTTTTATCATTACCTTTATGGTAGTATACAGTAAACAATATTATTAGACAATAACATACTATCAGGGCCGGCTCTAGGCACCAGCAAAACAAGCTGGTGCTTGGGGCGGCACATTTTTAGGGGCGGCATGGCCGGCGCCAGAATGCCGCCCCTAAAAATGTGCCCCGGCCGCCCTAGCTCACCTCTGCTGCTGCTGCCACGGCGCGTGAAACAGCTTATTCGCGCGCCACTACTTGCCCTCCCTCCCAGGCTTGAGAGCCTGGGAGGGAGGGGGAGATCCCGAGCGGCCGTTTCGCACGCCGCTGCTCCCCCTCCGTCCCAGGCTTGAGAGCCTGGGAGGGAGGGGGAGAAGCGGCGCCCGCGCCGCGGCCACTCAGAGTCTCCCCTCCCTCCCAGGCTCTCAAACCTGGGAGGGACGGGGAGAAGCGGCGTGCGAAACGGCCGCTCGGGATCTCCCCCTCCCCTTCCCAGCCACCCCACCCCGGGGGGGGGGGGGGGGGGGGGGGGGGGGGGGGGGGGGGGGGGGGGGGGGGGGGGGGGGGGGGGGGGGGGGGGGGGGGGGGGGGGGG